TACATACCGAAAACTACCTGGCACTCATCGGTCGTTTGAAAAGTAAACATTGAATGAAAAACTCTTATACTTGGTAAAAAAGATTCACTCAATGAATGTGTAACATTTGTCACAGTTTTCACAAAAGATGAGTGTTAAGGACAACTGATCCCAATGTTCTGACTGTTATTCTATCACAGAATCATTTCATCTGATAAAAAACAGACATACTCATGATATTTCGAGAACTAATCATTGCTCTTGGTTACATCAAAGTGTTCACTCCGAAATTGGTGGATATAATTTCATTATTCCTTATCCTTAGAAATTATTGGTAGAAGTATTTTGTATACCTCAGGTATTGATGTTGAGTCATTCCTACTGCATTTACTAGGTGCATTTTCGATGCACGTGCGTCGGTGGCAAGACGGTAAAGTGTTTGCCAACCATGCATGTGGTCCGGGGTTCGATCCCCAGCCGATGCACTCGTCTACCTCGCTAAGCCAGTAATAAGGTTGGTAAAGAAAGGAGGTTAGAGGCATGAGGCTGGCAAACCCTATTCCAAAAGAAAATAAACAAAAGTGCTACCGAAAATTCAAGTCACTAGCTTGAAGCCCTAAGTTCCATTGAGAACGTAAAGGAATACACAAAGATGATCAAAGTACAGAAGATGTGAAGGCTCAAATGGTAAACAAATCACAGTGGCAAAGACCCTTACTTCATACAATTAGATTTCAAAGGTGACAATATTGTAGGAATAGGCAACAGAAGACTGAAGACACCCTCAACCAGAACCTATAATGCAGCGAAGATGGTTCCCACTTATCGGGTATATGCTTGTTGGTGCATCTGTGAGTCGACAGATGCCCTTTTTACAGATTAAAATGTACTTGCTGTAGCAATTATATTGGCAGAACAAAAGGAAGAAGGCCACACCTCTGACTGTCTGGATATAGACGAAAAACCCTACGCCTCAAATGAACAAATGCTTTCAATAGTGTCATTGCCAGACATCTCAACAATACGGGTCATGAGGTGGACATCGTGAATTTCTTTAAAATTTTTAATAAACACAATAATGCATTCTACCTCAAGTTTGACGAAGCCGTCGCAATAAGACGCCTACAACCAGAGAAATACAGCAGTTATCAGTCTTTCCTTGCCCTAGTAACTAGATGTTTTATTCTCTCTTTCGCCCGATTGCGTAATCTTTGACTTTACCCTCTTTCTTCTTCTTTATGGTGAAACTTTGTTCGTCTCTTGTTCCTATGATTTGAGTTACTTTCACTGTACTGTTACTCAGTTCATCAGTTGCTTCTATTTTTACACGCCCCTTGTCATTGTCACATAACTCATTTGCCATTGTAAGGAATCAATTATTTTTGTTGCAAAATTTAAATCTCAGAGCAAAATCTATTCTGAGCACTAACTATTCAGTTTGGAGCCTCATGTCAACTGATATCATGTTGAAATTGCTGTGTGCACAAACTTAATAATATCTTTAGGTTGTACACAGGTGATGAGAAGACAAAGCAATAATCAATGATGGTATCATCTTATTCTGTAAAAACTCCTGCCTTTGCTTTGTTCAAATTCATAAAGGGTAATAGGCATGTGAAAAAATATTCACTAACCAACCTTCCCCCTTGTTACCTTGTACAATGTATCGTCTAAAGCTACAAACTCACCCAGAGGAGATCTGTGTAGACTAAAGGACCCTACTGACTTAAATAAGACAAAATAATTTTATCTACAGAGTACCATGCGATGACTGTGGTGTCACCCATAAAGGTCAATTTAGTAGGTCGGGGTAAATCAGGATATCGAAATATCAGATGACTGACTTCACGAAGATAGAAAACTTGGATAAAAACTCAGCCACCCGTATACATGGACTTACACACAATCACACAATATGTCGAGAAGAAGCTGCACTTCTTTGAAGTAATACAAGTAAGTAGAAGGAGATGTTAATTACTGAATCTTTGTACGAGGAATCTACACGAAACATGCGCAAAAGGAATTACGTTACCCTTACATCAGATGTTTGGTAAATTACAGTGAATGACAGTGGGGAGAGAAAACGCATGTAAATTGTCGTCAATATGTCATCCAGTTATCAGTACTGTAGCAGTGTGTATCATACCGAATAAACTTATCTAATGTGGAGTTATACTCTACCATACTGTCTAACTTCTGCACTTGTAGAGATAGCCATCAACCGTTAGTTATTAGACCACTTAGCTCAAATAGACTGTGAAGCCAGTCATTGAAGAATCTTCTTCTATAAACTCTCAGGTATCGAATGAACTGCTAAAAACCTGTATGCACTGAACAATCCAAACACTAGTAGCTATTGTAATTTGCCGAAAACCACCGGAACTCTGAGTGCCAAAGAAACTGGTTGGGCGCCTATTACCACCCTCACCTGCTGTGGAATGTGTGAATTCATAAAAACTATGTTACATTACACCTTTCAGGCAAGAATTTCAATCATGTTTGTATAATTCCACCCAACCCTAATTATTTCACCTGCATAAATAAAAATTTTGTTTCTGAAGTTACACTGAGTAATTTACTGGCAAACGATCACGATTTCGCAGATGATTTATGCTTCATGTCACAAAAACTTGAAGATTTACAGGCAAAAACCAACAGCCTGGCAGCAAAGATAGGACTTCAAGCACTTCAAGACAGTGGTGATGAAAATAACCAACCGACCAACAACACAAAGCACCAATCACTAGCACTTATCTAGGAAGCCTCATTTCGAATAAAGTCACATGGCATGGATGAGGATGTCAAAACCAACCAAGATCTGAAGGGCAAGAGATACCTTAATCCCTTTGAAGACTATCTGGAAAATTCCTCCACTCATCACAAACAACAAAATTTGGATTTTCCACACCAGTGTTAAGCCATTCAGTTCTTCTGTATGGGTCAGACACTTGACCAGGGCGTCACAGAAAGCATTTTAAACAGGTAACTGCAGACTTATATCAACAGGCGCCTTCTCTGGTTCAGTTCTGAAGATTAAATGGCCAGTCAGAAACAATTAGCAACAAGAAACTTTAGGAACATACAAATCGGGAGCCTTTTGCCCAAAAAACATGTAGAAGAAAATAGAGATGGATTGTACACACTCTGAAGAGACCGTCTAATGATACCGCGCACCAGACAGTTGAATGAAACCTGAATGAAAAAAGAAGAGTTAGGCATTTTTCCGAGAGTGACTTGGGGGAGATCATGTTAGAAGGAGAGTAGAGAATATGAGTAATTGCGGGACAAGATAAAGGTGATCAAAATGAATAGGATAAAGTGGAGGTGTCCCGTTGAAGCCCCATGTTCCACTCGGAACTCAAGCAAACAATAATTTAATATTAATTCACTTGCACTCTGACATACACATTTAACCGTCTTTCTTATTTCGCCTCCCTATTTGTTATAGTATCAACCATCTATATGAAGTTTATATTCAATAGGTATAAAATTCAATGTGAACATTAGTCATGAGCATTAATCAATATTTACGTTGAGAATCACTTCGAATAAATATATCCAAATAACCTTAGTTTATTATGTCAAAGAAAATAAAACCATTTTTATCTCTATCATGTTAGTTGTCACAATCGAAATCTCTTACTGTCCTACACACATTTCGACATGGTACCTAAATATTTTGATAAACAGGAAGTTTATCCGTAAAACTTAAAGGCTTTGGATCAGTTATGAACTGAACTGACCGCATTTACCTGTCTACTTGTTCACCATTAAAGCTATTCATGTTCTAAATCTTCCTTTCGTCAAGTTTGATCAAGGAATGATTGCATTTAAAGAACCATAGAAAACAGGTTATAAAAGGGGGTGAGGTTAAAGACAAAGATTAGGATGTCAGAATAAAGACATCCAGTTACCAGGTCAAGGAAAGACTAATAACTGCTTCTTTCTGAACACATAAATCTGGTTTCAAGCGTTTCATAGAAATGGCTTAGGCAAACTTGAGGAGAATCAAGCTTCTTTGTCTACTGACAATTTTAAAGGATTTCGCGATTTCGACCTCATGACCCATATGGAGGAGATGTCTGATAATAGCGCTATTATAAGAGTTTGTTTGTTTATAATCTGTAACTTTGCTTGTCTCTTGTTTCTATGATAGGAGTTGAACTCAGTACATTGTCACCTAATTTATTAGTCACTCTTCATCTTACACATCTCTCGTCTTTGTTACGTAACTTCTTTACCATTGTATTCATACATTTATTTTGCTTAAACATGAAGTGCCTGTGTAAAAACTATATGAGATCAATTTTCTGAGCACTGTTCACTAATTGTGCAACCTTTTGTCAACTGACATCATGTAAAATTTGCAAGTATATTTCAACTTTTCTGTAAATGAATCTCATAATTTATTTAAGCTGTAAGCAGCAGCTGATGATAAGCCGACGAAATAAACAATGATGATACCATATTATCTTGCACAAACCACACTGTTGTTCTTGCTTTATTCAAATTCATCAAGGGCAATAAATGCATGAAATTTCTCACAAATAGTCTAGGAGCATTCAGAAGTTTTCACTCATGACCTCACCGAGGATTGAACTCAATACCTTCATGTTGCGAAGGCAACCCGTTGAACTAAATTTCTAACGAGAAGATACAAACAATGGGGTCCAACAAGTCGAGAGTGAGGAGAAGTACACGTTGTTCACATTGGGCGGCAATGACTCTATATATAGGGAATCGGCAGAGGTCCGAATTCATCGGCCACTGGATTTAATCCCAGAATAAGATCCGAGTTTTTGCAACACCCATTTCAAGTCGGTCAATGCCTCTTTATGGTTCACAGACCTGACCTACACGTTACCAAAAGCATTTCGAACAAGCTATCGCAGACTTTGATCAACAACTCCCTTCGAAACCCAGGGGAATAATAGTTGTTAATGTAAAAAACCATAAACTATTGGTAATATAACACGCGAAATATACAAATAAATAAATAATAAATAAATTGGTTTGCTTACATTTTTCTTGATTATATTCAATTGAGATATCTGCTTTTCTAATTTACTAATTAATTGTGAAAGTATTTCTTCAGTAAGTTCTTTATTTTCTCAGTTCAAATGTGTTTGAGTTAAAACTTTGCACGGTAAGTATAACTAGTGTATAATATATAGTGTTGGACAGAATGTATTGACAAATCTAAACGTACATATCATTTTATTAAACTGTTATTTGATTGGTTAGTGAAATTAAAGGCGGGAAAATGAAAGCAAAGACTATAACTCTGTCGTTATTCGTTCCGGTTAAATAAATCTGAATAATATTTATATGGTATTTTAATAATTTGAAGGATACTGTTTCATGATTTATGGAGTGTTGACAATAACAATCATATGAATATGAAATATTTCAATGTGGATTTCGTCACGAATCATGGAGATCATAGAAAACCAGGAAGTATTCGGCTGGTAATTCATTCTAGTTTGTAAATGTTCATCAGTACAGTCTGATGACCCAAATAGGGGTCGAACTTTGGACCTTCAGGTCACCATATCAAGCTCGTTGACTATTCAGCCTTTTGCAGCGGAATTCAGTGAACCTTAAATTTATACTTTTTCTAATCGTGATATAGCGCTACCCTAAACCACTGCTTTTAACGAGTATTCACCTCATCTTGATATAGCTGACCCATCTGTCCACGACACTTCAGTGTAGCATCAGAATCTCCATCAAGAAGGCTGGAGATTGATGCTCAGGTTATTGGAATTTCTGTGAAGATTTGGATAAATTTTATCAAATTCTGGCGCAATTGGCCGAATAGTCTACCAGCCTGGTCTGGTGTCCAGAAGGTCCTAGGTTCGATACCTGATAGCGTTGTGGGTGTGCTTTGCTGAAGAGTTTCAAACTAGAACGAAATAGCTGTACAGAGCTCCCTGGTTTTCAATGATCTTCAAATGATTGTAGTTTGTGATGACCAAACCTGTGACCAATAAAATCCCTGCTCACTAGCAACTGGTTACATGAAGGAAGTTACCTGGTGTTCTGGTGAGAAGTCATAATCAGCGGGCTCCACCAAATCACGTAACAGAACGATTATTCGCCTTTGACATTAGCTGGTGGATGCGTTACATATACTGAGAATTGGAAGAAGTTGGAATTCATGGGCTGGCCACTGGATCATGGCCTAATGGTTAAATGGCGTCAAAGGCACATGCCTACTTTATACCATTTTCTGCAGTTCTGTGAAGCCATAATCTCTCATCTGCTTCTCACAGGATCTGCGCTTTGGACCTACGCCTGACTGCTTGATCTTCATTCAAGGGCCTGGACCATAGTATCGCTCAATGGTCTCTAGAATGTGTATCTGGTCCCTCTTCATCTTCTACAGCACATTCATTGAGCACTGGGTTGTTGACTGTTTACTTTCCAGAGTTCGCCGTTGTTAATTATTTCACTCCAGCCTCCTGATCTTCAGTATGGAGCCAGTGAATACAGATGTTCAAAATAGTCTGTAGCCTGTTGCAAATACTTTTGGTGACACATACTGATTCTCTGAACCATACAGAAACACTGATTGGCTTGACATTATTGTTTGTCAATCAGAAACATGTTGTGTCTGTTCAGTTCAGTGGGTTATCGGACTGCCTTTAGATTAATGAAGGCTTTTATTGATTTTACGACGGTACATTTGACATGACAATACAATTATCACATAGAAAAACAATCCTGCACATTTCAACTCCAACTGGATTCACACTGTGAGAAGTGAGAGCAGAGTTTCTTGTAAACATTCTGTGAATATCCCTAATAGTCTTCATAGGAAAATGAATATGGAAAGTAAAGTAGTATCTGCTGTTGCAGTAGCTTGGCAGCTAATGGACTGGGGATAAACAATGGAAGTCAATCTAATCAGGAAAAATATCCATCAAGACATTAAGAATGAAAGAACAAGAAGTTCAGTAAAGAACTCATTCCATTGATTTCATCCTCGAAGCGCTGTACAGTCGTATTTTTATACCATAAGTTCACACAGTTCACAGTTACTCTTCAGTTCAACATTGTAACGAATCGAGATTGAGTGGAATAATAGTCTTCAACTTGATATGAAAGTGTGAATACAGATCTTCTTAGAAATGAAATTTAATAATACTTAATATTGTTTTCTAATGTGTGAAGCAGTTTTTAACGAAAATAATTGTGAACGCATTGTGCATAGCAATAAACAGAAATGACAGTACTTACTCATGAAGATTGGGATGAAAGAAAACGGAGACTTACGAGTTGAAGAGAACTAGATCCATGGCAAATGTATAGGTAGGACCAATTTCTTTTGAACATATAGCTATGGCTTCGCGACGGATGTGGTGACGGCTTCAGTAGTACAAAGAAGCCTGAAAAACACTGTATTTGTTAGATTTTCGCTTGCCTTGTAAATAACTCTGAATGATGATTCATTTAAGATAGTGTGAAAGGTGTTAATAAGGCGCATAATTATGCCGCTTTTACTTGAACCAGTGTCTCATGTTTGCAGGCAGACAAGGTAGTGTTCTGTAGCACGCTTTGAGAGGTAGGGCACAACCACACATGTGGTCAGGGATTCAATACACGGCCACCAACGCACTCCCTTACCTCGTTAAGCCAGTAATAAGGCTGGTAAAGAGGGAAAGTTGGGCATAAGGCTAGCAACTTCATACTGTTAAAATAAAAACTACTGCCGAAACCTCATGCCTCTAGCTTGAAGCCCTGTGTTCTATTGGGAACGTAAATGAATAAATAAGCATTTGCAGGATTTTACACAGCTTAGAAGCGATGAATGGCTAGAGAATATCGCTTTTAATGTTGCTTCAGGGAAGGTTTTCCTTGGATAAGTAAAGACACTCTACTTAAGATTATCTGCCAATAAGACTTTCCTGAGATCCAGGTTCACATAGATCATTTCATTACGGTCTAAAACCTCCTCTTCTCAGTGGCTTCAAAAACAAAAGGTTTATTGACAAAGCTAACTGATCATGAAGCTAGTCACACCAGTGAGCAACAGACTACACATTCAGTGCACGGATTTGAATGACTTCAAGTTTGATAACTAACTGATTCCTGTTGGAGAACCACTGATAAACCGGAGAGAACTGGGCAGGTTCCATTATAGATAAGATTTTTATTTTGATAAATCGCACAGTGTTTACAGTTATATGAACTGATGACGTTTCGAGCACAATTTATTGCTCATAATCATATCAAGGTAATCACACGACTTCCTAAATTCATTTATATAGTTCCATTGTTTTTCTCTTGATTTTCACTTGATTTGATTGGTAATAGTATTTTCCATATTTCAGGTATGAGTGACGAGTCATTCCTATTGCATGTGTTGGGTGTAGACTCGATGAACAAGGACTCAGTAATCAACCTCTCTCTCCACCTACCTAGATTACTTTTTAGAATTTTAACCCTCTCCCACCCTATTGTGTGGTTGTGTGTTAGCGCATGCATTGCAATTGCTGAGCTTTTTTCTAAATTATTTATCTTCTCGGGGTCAACCATTCTTACCTTAGCTAAATTTTTATGCTCTGACAATCTGACTACCCCTGACCTACTAGTTTGACCTATGTAGTTGACCTCACAGTCATTGCATGGTATTTTGTAAATAATATTATTTTGTCTAATTGGGTCAACTGGGTCCTTTAACCTACAGAGCTTGTCCCTGAGTGAGTTTGTAGGTTTAAATGCCACCCTAATTCCTATTTTATTCAGAATCCTACGTAGTGTCTCAGATGTCCCCTCTTTATATGGTATAACTGTGGATGACTTATATTCTTTCTTATTTATGTTATTATTACTAGTTTCACAATTATTTTTATTTTGTTTTTGGCCTTTAATGATCTTCCTAATGAATTTTATAGGATAGTTATTCAACACCAACGCTTCTTCTATCTGTTTTAATTCATCATTTAGATCTTTTTTTGTGCTACTTAGTGCCACTGCTTGGTTTGTTAAACATTTAACTAAGCCTGCCTTAACAGTTAAAGGATGAGACGAATTAACGTCTAACAAACCGAGCAGTGGCACTAAGTAGCACAAAAAAAGATCTAAATGATGAATTAAAACAGATAGAAGAAGCGTTGGTGTTGAATAACTATCCTATAAAATTCATTAGGAAGATCATTAAAGGCCAAAAACAAAATAAAAATAATTGTGAAACTAGTAATAATAACATAAATAAGAAAGAATATAAGTCATCCACAGTTATACCATATAAAGAGGGGACATCGGAGACACTACGTAGGATTCTGAATAAAATAGGAATTAGGGTGGCATTTAAACCTACAAACTCACTCAGGGACAAGCTCTGTAGGTTAAAGGACCCAGTTGACCCAATTAGACAAAATAATATTATTTACAAAATACCATGCAATGACTGTGAGGTCAACTACATAGGTCAAACTAGTAGGTCAGGGGTAGTCAGATTGTCAGAGCATAAAAATTTAGCTAAGGTAAGAATGGTTGACCCCGAGAAGATAAATAATTTAGAAAAAAGCTCAGCAATTGCAATGCATGCGCTAACACACAACCACACAATAGGGTGGGAGAGGGTTAAAATTCTAAAAAGTAATCTAGGTAGGTGGAGAGAGAGGTTGATTACTGAGTCCTTGTTCATCGAGTCTACACCCAACACATACAATAGGAATGACTCGTCACTCATACCTGAAATATGGAAAATACTATTACCAATCAAATCAAGTGAAAATCAAGAGAAAAACAATGGAACTATATAAATGAATTTAGGAAGTCGTGTGATTACCTTGATATGATTATGAGCAATAAATTGTGCTCGAAACGTCACCAGTTCATATAACTGTAAACACTGTGCGATTTATCAAAATAAAAATCTTATCTATAATGGAATTATACTCTACCACAGTGCCCAAGTTTTATACTTATATCAACTGCGCAGGTATTTTGGCCTGTGTTGATAGCTTCAGTAGCACTTAACCAGTGCGGTTCGAAAGAAAGACCTGCTGGTTGAAAATACGTCTTTTTCGACCAAATGACTAGTGGGTCACAATCATATAGCGCATAAATAGTAAAATTTCTGAGAATCCTCGATGTATAGAGTGGCCACCAGCCAGTAATATCGGTGAGTATATGTCTGCACATCCTACTTCTATGACTAAGTTGGTCATCACTTTCCATTAGAACTTGAGGCAAATTCATCCTGTACTCATTCAACGATGATGGCGAGATCAATATTCGTCTCAATCTACAGGGATTTGATCGATTTTCAATCTGACGATTACATTATTACGTAACTACCGTCTCAAACTTACAGTCTTTATGATACATACCAACAAACATTCCTCTAGTTTCTATGAAGTTATACTCTGTATCTATTATACAGCTTTAGAATTGACTCGCTGTAAAGGATGCTTCTTCACTGGACACTTTCCCTTTCTCTAAGACTTATTCGAACTTAGTCAGCTAACGATTTTTGGTTAGAAATAGTGCGATTCGAAAATTACTACATATACGCAAGTTAACGCTAGGTGGTACTGCTTGGTAAAATAGCATAGGGATTCAAGCCGGTTAACAGAAGTATATCTACCCGCGAGAACCAGTCTCCATATTGTCATTGATCGAGTTGTATAGTTCCAGGAGTGTTGATAGATGTGCATTATTCACGTGCGAAAAGTGATAAATTACACTTCATTAACCTGAGTTATTATTTCTGTTAAATGAAACGCGGTTACAGGAATCCATCGCCTACCAAATGGTGATGAAAATTGCATATTAAACAGCAAAATGTGTTACACATAAAATCAATCAAACTAGTGAAACCCAGTTAAAGCTCAAACCCAAATTCATTAAAATTCAAAAAGCTTTAGAAAGAGTCCAACTACAAGTAAGTTGGAGAGTATGAAAGCAATGCGAGATGAAGTGTGGAAAAACTATACCAATCTCATTCAAACGATGTCTGCATAAACATGCTACATACAAACTCACTCAAAACACAATGTTCAAGTACAAATGTCGAGTGAAGACGAAAGTAAGAGAGGGCTACCTTCTGTCAACGAGGACATCCTTCATCAAGCAAAGACTGCATCATTCAGTAAAATGTGAGGAGCAACAAAACCGGAATACGTTCGACTGAAAATACGACTCTAGACATTCTACACTCCATGGGTGAAAGATGTCTGTTTCCACAAAAAACAACAACAAAACCCTAACGATGCAAACCAATCAGTTGGAAGAGGCGACAACGAAGACAGGAATTCAAGTGAATAAAGAGCAGGCAGAGGCTGTGACGATAACTCACCAACAATGATAACGACAAGCACCAATCATCATTACTGCGAACAAATCCAAAGAAAGCCATCACTTTCACACACAACCACATGCCGTCGTCCAAACCACAGGCGGCACACATGAGGATGTCAAAGTTAGTCATCATCGGAAAGGCAGACACACACAGACACTGACTACTCTGCTGAAATCAGTCTCGAAATCTAATTCACTCAGAATGAGAAACAGGATTCAGACTTCTGAAGAGTAACGCCAATTCATCAGTTCTTCTATATGGTTTGGAGACATGGAACACGAGTCACTGAAAGCATTTCGAACAGGCTATCTCAGAGTGTCAGTAATCAACAGCTGTCGTCACTCCGTACTAAAGATAAGAGGGTCACCCGGAGATGATAATTAATTAACAAGGCAGACAGCAAACTAACCAATACTCTGTCGACTAGCAAATATGCAGTGGGAAATGGAGATGGATTCGATACATGCTGAGGAGTTTCCTGAGTGACCACCTGCACCAAGCAAACTGTCGACTGGAACCTGAATAAGAAACCAGTTAAAGCGGACTCTGAGAAATATGATAAATATCATATGTCCTGTTAAAATCGCATGTTACACTCTGAAACTAAGAGAATAGTAATAATAATGTTTATGTTTTATTTGGGCTTATTATTTTGGATGCTACAGGCTGTACGCAATTAAACAGAAACTACGAAATGCAGCTGTATTTGTTCATGAACATTTCTTCTTTTTCTTTTCTGCAGGGAGTAACTATCTGATGGTACTCACTTATGTAACACAACCTGATGACATATATATATATTTATATGCATCTAGTAACTAAATGCAGACAATACTAATAAGTAAAAATTAGCCACCGATTAATTGTATTATTGAGACAATTACTAATAATATGATGTATAGTGAAAGGATAACATGTCTGTGGCATTCTGTTTGTGAACATTTAATTTTCATTTCCGCCGATACACGCTGTGCATTAATTTTTCATGAGAAATGAAATACTTTCATCAAGTGAAATTCATCAATATGGAAAATTTCTGCCTTCTAATGTTTTTCGGTAAATATGTTTTTCAAGATATTGTTTTGTCATTAAATTTTAATGATGACCATTTACTTACCTAGTAGAGATTCTGTCTCAGAAATTAAGTTTCTCTGTAAATGGTTTTAGTACTGTTATTATTATTATTATGGTTATTATTGTTTATATTATTCCCTTGGGTTCGGAAGGAAAAAAAAACAGAGATTCACCAGATTCATTTCTGTTTCAGTCTGTTTTCCTCCGTTTGCTTTTGTCACTACTTCCACAATGGTGCGTAAGATCTCATCTCATTCTCACACGATTGATTACGTGGCGCATTCGGATGCCCGATTCAAAGCTGGATCAAGATTAAGGCTCCACTGAAGAGTCTGCTGGGAGTCAGATTCCACTCAATGAACTCCACAGCGTGTATCAAATCCATCTCCATTTCCCACTGCATATTTGCTAGTCGACAGAGTATTGGTTAGTTTGCTGTCTGCCTTGTTAATTAATTATCATCTCCGGGTGACCCTCTTATCTTTAGTACGGAGTGACGACAGCTGTTGATTACTGACACTCTGAGATAGCCTGTTCGAAATGCTTTCAGTGACTCGTGTTCCAAGTCTCCAAACCATATAGAAGAACTGATGAATTGGCGTTACTCTTCAGAAGTCTGAATCCTGTTTCTCATTCTGAGTGAATTAGATTTCGAGACTGATTTCAGCAGAGTAGTCAGTGTCTCTGTGTGTGTCTGCCTTTCCGATGATGACTAACTTTGACATCCTCATGTGTACCGCCTGTGGTTTGAACGACGGCATGTGGTTGTGTATGAAAGTGATGGCTTTCTTTGGATTTGTTCGCAGTAATGATGATTGGTGCTTGTCGTTATCATTGTTGGTGAGTTATCGTCACAGCCTGTGTCTCCTCTTTATTCACTTGAATTCCTGTCTTCGTTGTCACTTCTTCCAACTGATTGGTTTGCATCGTTAGGGTTTTGTTGTTGTTTTCTGGGAAAACAGACATCTTTCACCCATGAAGTGTAGAATGTCTAGAGTCGTATTTTCAGTCGAACGTATTCCGGTTTTGTTGCTCCTCACATTTTACTGAATGATGCATTCTTTGCTTGATGAAGGATGTCCTCGTTGACAGAAGGTAGCCCTCTCTTACTTTCGTCTTCACTCGACATTTGTACTTGAACATTGTGTTTTGAGTGAGTTTGTATGTAGCATGTTTATGCAGACATCGTTTGAATGAGATTGGTATAGTTTTTCCACACTTCATCTCGCATTGCTTTCATACTCTCCAACTTACTCGAAAGCTTTTTGGAAGTCGATGAATCGTTATTGCAGATACGATTGGATGTCTTCTGTTTAGATTAGTTTTTTGCATCATACCTACTACATTTTATATTACAGTTTACTATATGGAAGCCTATGGATTCCTGAAACCGCGTTTCATTTAACAGAAATAATAACTCAGGTTAATGAAGTGTAATCTATCACTTTTCGCACGTGAATAATGCACATTTATCAACACTCCTGGAACTATACAACTCGATCAATGACTTCATGGAGACTGACTCATGTTGGCAGAAGTACTTCTGTTAAACATCTCGTATCCACGTGCTTCTTTATGTATATATATATGGCGGCCTGTTTGACACCTGGGCTACCTTTTCCTGCATCTATATACTGCATCTAAGAAGTCATTTTTTCATTCATAGTTTTAATAAAATATGATCACAAATCGCATAAGATACAGTAATTCATTCAACGTTTGAAACCATATGACTTTCATGCGTCTAATAAAACTAAGAGAAAACATCACGGTGGCTGGCAGCGTGCACTTAAACAGACACCTTTATATCGCAAAACTATTCCTGTTATTGTCACTTCAAACTGCCGTTCACTTCCCAACAAAATTATGCATCTCCAGTCTCTCTTATCATCTGATACTTATCACAATACGGCGATTGTTGCATTACAAGAAACATGGCTCCATGAACTCTATGATGACAATCTGGTTTCCCTAAATGGTTTTACATTGTTTAGACAAGATCGACTATGCTCCAGAAAGAAAAGAGGTGGAGGTGTTGCAACTTTCATTCATTCTCAATGGTCAACTTCAAATAACGTATGTTTTTCTTACTCTAATGACTTTATTGATTGTATAACGGTCAAATGCCGCCCGAAACACTTATCCAAGTTTAAATACGTCTTCATCTCTAACATTTATGTTACTCCTGGCTGTTCTGCATCTGATCTATCTGATTTTGCTGATGAATTCACTGAATTCGCCGTTACACATCTTGAAAACTCTTTATCAGTTGTCACAGGAGATTTTAACTGCTGTGATTGTTCTTTCCTCGTATCATTAGGTCATGCCAATATTGTTAAATTCCCTACTCGACTTGATAAAACTCTGGACCTAGTGTTCATTAATGATGAGGAAATATATGAAGTACGCCGACGTGCTCCTATCATGAACTCAGATCATTGTATTATTCGGATATTACCTAAGATATACAGCAGATCTCACTTTAATATCTTCTCAAATCTGTCCAAGAAAACACAGCAAAGGTGTTACTCACAAGAAAATATGCTCAAACTAAGATGTATGCTAAATGACACTAACTGGGAACTTTTCAACGAACACAAACTGGATGATACTATTTCCAATTTGACTGACTATCTTAAATTCTGTCTTGATATATGCTGTCCAAAACAGATAATTTTCAAAAGAATGGATCGTTTTTCTTCCCCTCATCTCAAAAAACTTCGTAGAGAAAAAGAGAAGCTGTACAAGACAAAGAATAAATCTGGTCTTAAGAAGATAAACACCCAAATTAAATCTGAAATCAAGAGACTAAACAACATTTATAATCAAACAATACTATCTTGTAAAACTTCAGAAAACATATGGAAGCTTTTTAGAGAAATTACTGGTTGTGGTAAGCATAATAATTTTGCCTCTTCTATTGATGTAAATACTCTCAATAGATCTTTCATCCGCCCTCCAAATGTCCTTTCTGCCTTCAATTTAACTAATAACACGACCAGTGACTTTCATCGTTTCAATACTTCTGATGTTCTTAAATGTTTGAAATCTCTTAAACCTTCCCAGAGTCTAGGCCCTGATGGTATACCTGCCATTGTTTTAAAGAAATGTGCTGATATTTTAAGTAACCCACTTACAAGCATTTTCAATACTTCTTTTTCTAATAATGTTGTACCTTCTCTGTGGAAAGATATTAAAATCATCCCTGTACCCAAGTCTGGTTCTGGAGATAGTGTTAAGTTTAGACCAATTGCCATTACCTCTCCTTTTTGAAACTGATGGAGAAATTACTGTTACAAAAACTCATTCCCTCCCTAAGCTTCTCAAATGATCCAAAGCAGTTTGCTTACAAACAGGGTAGAAGTACTTTGGATGCTGCTGCTGTGTTTCATCACA